CCCCCCTCCGGGGACCCCCCCGCCCTGCCGCGTCCCGGCCCGGCCGGTGCCCGTCCCGCGGCCTTCCCCAGCCCCGGTGGCGCTGGCGGCGGGCGCGCCTGCGCCGGGGTGCTCGGGAGGGCGTGAGGACGGCTTCCCCCCGGCGGAGAAACGCGCCTGAGCGCCGCGGAGCCGGCAGTGGGCAAGCAGCGGGACTGGCACAGCCGCCGCAGGCCCCTGGGCCGCCCTGCAACCCTACCGTTCTGGTTTTGTACCCAGAAGCCGCCGCGGAGGCACCGGCGACAGGCAGACGTGCTCTCGCATCGCTGCGGCTTATTCTGCTGAAATCTGCTCCTTTACGGTAAATAGCCTGAGCACTTACACCCTTCCCGTTCACCAGGGCAGCCTGCTCCCTCGGACTCGTGGGACCCCTCTCTGCACAGCCCCTGCGCAATGCCACCTCTGTTCGAGGAACTCGATTACAAAGAGTCTGTAGCTATTAAAAAGTAGTGAAATAAAAAAAATAATAAAGTGAGGTTACTACATTTCCAAACATACATCCAAGTACGCAACTCAAAGCAAGCGGTAAAGAACGTAGCATCCAAGGAACACCAGACCACACGCAGCACATACAATCTTACTCTGCCTGCAATCACACATGCTCTTTTCTCCCCAGATTATCGCGTTATGTTGCTTCCAAGGTGGCTGCCTAATTCGGCATCCCAAGAAGCTACTGCTGAGATAAAGAATCAGGATTGCATCACCGAGCGGCACGTCCCTTTTCCATGGCGTAAGGCCTCCTCTCTGCCGAGGGGTAGCGAGTAAGAGCCTGTCCACATGGCTGCACCAACCGGAATAACCAGAGTCGATTGAGCCCTCACACTAGCTGCCCTGTACTGGGACACCGCTGGCACAGGAGACATTTTACTCTAGTATGCTAGGATGCTCAGAAGGTAAAGCTGTTGTTCCAAAATAAATTTCATGCTGGAACATCAGCAGTGGGAGAGTTTACTCCAAGGAACAGATCAGTCCAAAAGCTGAAGACAGTAAAAAGAGTATGATGTAATACAGGTAAAGTGAATGAATGTCACTCCACAAGCTTGAGTCTAATCAAGACACAAATTTACATGCAAAATTAAGAGACAAAACAGAATTTCACTGCATGATCACTACAAGCATGTGTTTTTCATACACACATGAAACATAAGGCCCACGCACGGGCAACTGCAGCCGGTATCAGTCAGACACCGAATCAGCAGTTCCTGCGGGGAGGCGGTGCAACCTTGACAGATGAAGGCTCTAGAATCAGAGGCCCTGAGTTTACCCCAGGTCAGTCAACAATTTGTTTTGTGGCCTTCAACAGTCATTCCTCTATCTGTAAGGTGGAACAGAGCTCATATGTCTAGCATACAGAGGCAGCTTGCCTTCAAACCAACCAGCCACTCTCATTCTCAAGCCAGAAGACAGTATTTTAGCCATTCCAAAATTTTAAGGAGCTTCTTGTGTTTGGGCCTTAATTTGGCTGCAGATGGGAAAACTAAAATCCAAAGAAAATACTAGACCCTAGTATAAAAAGCTTTACTTTTTATGTAGGAAAGTACAGAAAAGCCTGGAAGGAAATTTATCTTTCTGTGTCAAAATGATCAGTATTAAATAAAACATATTGACACATAATACACAAACTGAACATCAGCTTTGTTCCCCAACATGTGCCAGTTCAGCACAGCTCACAGGAAAAAGCACTTCAGGTTATTGTAAGGAATATATTGTGGAGGATAGAATTAACACTTCATACAGATACCTTCCCCATTGCAACCCAAACAGTACAGCTTCACCAGAAAAGGCACATTTTTACTACACCATGCTAGGATTTGGCTTACGTTAACAAAACCAAGACAGCTTTCCAGCAAACAAACATAAGGAGCTGCAGGGAATCCTTGACCTTACTTTGCCCTCCAAATTTACATCAAAATAAATGAGTCTTTCACCACCACCCTAGTTTGAACTACTGTGTCTACAATAATGGATAAAGCAGAAGAACCTCTAGGCTCAGCCCTGACTTGGCTGAGAAAAGCTATATCAGCACTTGTGCCGCAGCACTGGAGTGAACATTTTCTGTCTTTCAGCAACTACCACAGCTATACAGCTTGCCCAGCCAGAGCAGGTTTCACTGAGCCAACATGAAGCAGAAACCAGTTTGTGGAGACAGCCCCCGATAAGATAAACAGACCACAGCAAAGAGCGGAAGGAGGGAGAGGTCCAGAACAGTAAGATCTGATCTACTTGCATCTTCACACAGGACAACACTGATACACGCACTGAGAAGTGGATGCGAATAGGACAAGCCAAGAAACAAGTCTGCATGAACTGGCTATGCTTTACCCTAATTGAAGACCTCAAAGCAAACCAAAACCAAAGCATAATTCAAAAGCCGATGAGACCAGGTAACTGGCTGCCTCCATAGCAGGTACTGTTCACTTCACACTCCTGTCTAGTCACTGCTCTTCCCTATTCCCAGAGCAAAAGATCTGCAAAATGAGGAGTGCTGGAGACGCTCCCCACTCAGCACCGCACCAACAGCGGGCCCTGACACCACCCGTACAGAAGAGCCTGCAGCACAACGAATGTGCAGGGAAAAAAGCACGCTGCGCTCTGGCCTCGACATGCCCAAGCCCGAGGACAGACGGCCCCGCAGCTCGAGAAAGGCCATCCATCTCCCTGCCGCCCGAGGAGCTTGACGGACCCTTGCCACTGGGGTCCGGGCCGACCCGGGGACAGGTGGAAGGAGGACAGCCAGCGGGGCGGGACAAGAGGCCGCCCAGGTCCCGCGCCCCGCCCGGCTCGCTCGGGGCTTCCCCGCGCATCCCAGCGTCCGGCCCTGGGAACCGGCCCCCGGCACTGACCTCCTCGCGCCTCTTTTGCCAGCGGCCGCAGGGCGACTCCTCGAGGATCTCGGACTCGTCCTCGCTCTCCTCCTCCTCCTCCTCCTCCGGGGGCGCCGCGGAAGTCACCGGCGCAGACACCGAAGTCATTCCCGGGCCAGACGACGCGGACTCGGGCTTTGAGTCGGAGCCGCCGCTCGGCACCTGCTTGGACTCACCCTCCGACATGCTGCGGTCACAAAACCTGCGGGCCAGAGGCGCGGGCCGTGAGGCGAGGCGAGGCGGCTATGAGACCAG